GAATTAGACATGACACAGATAGAATGTTGTCTTACTTCTGAATCCTGATTAATCACAAAAACATCATAAGTCAAAGATGCTGCCTTCTTTATCAGGCAGGGTCATCCTTACCCAGACTAAGAAGGTGCTGTGAATTGTTTTATGTGCCAGTGGGATCTGCCAGCCTTAGCTCACTTATATATGAACATACAAGTTAGGAGCAGGAATAGACCACGCAGCCCCTCGAGCCTGCTGCACTATTCCATAACATCATGGCTGATCTGATTACTCCATATTCCACCTACTCCTGATAACCTTTCATTTCCTTGCTCACCTTGAGTCTATCTACCGCTGCCTTACAAATATTTAAGGACTTTACTTCCACCACCACTTCAGGAAGAGAGTTCCAAAGACCAATGACTCTCTGAGAGAAACTGTTTTAAATGAGCGAGCTCTTATTTTGGGAACAAGTGACTCTTCCTTCTAGATTCTCCTTTAGGAGGGAACATCATTTCAAGAGGGCCAGAATACAACAGAAATATACTGCTGAGGCTGTATAAGGCTCTGGTCAGACTGCATTTGGAATATTGTGAGCACTTTTGGGCCCCATTTCTAAGAAAGGATGCACTGCCATTGTAGGGGGTCCAGAGGTGGTTTACATAAATGATCCTGGGGGTGAGGAGAGGCTTGTCACATGAGGGGAGGTTGAGGACTCTGGAGTTTAGAAGGATGAGGTGGGGTGGGGGGGGATTTCATTGAAACTTACAGAATACTGAGAGGCCTGGATAGAGTGGACATGTAGGAGATGTTCCCACTAGTACGGGAGACTAGGACCCGAAGGCATACCCTCAGAGTGAAGGGATACTCTTTAGAAGTGAAATGAGGAAGAATTTCTTCAGCCAGAGGGTGGTGAATCTATGGATATCATTGTCACAGAAAACTGTGGAGGCCAAGTCACTGCATGTTTATAAGGCAGAGATAGGCAGATTCTTGATTAGTAAGGGGACTAAAGGTTACAAGGAGAAGGCAGGAAATTGGGGTTGAGAAACATTTGAGCCATGATTGAACAGCGGAGTAGATTTGATGGGCTGAATGTCCTAATTCTATTGCTATATCTTATAGTCTTAATGGCCCTCCACATCTAAAATAAAACTGATAATGGAGAGCTGAAACAAAAAAAGAAATTGCTGAAGAAATTCGGCTGGTCTGGCAGCGTCTGTGGAGAGAAAGTGGAGCTAAAGTTTTGAGTCCGATGCGCCTTCATCGGTTCTAATGAAGGGTCACTGGACTCAAAACGTTAACTCTGTTTTTCTCTCCCCAGATATTGCCAGCCCTGCTGAGTTTCTCCATCAATTTCTGGTTTTCTTTCAGATCTCCAGTATCTGTAGTTCTTTGTTTTATTTATGCTCTCCACATCCAACCTGTCAAGATCCCTCAGGATCAAACACTGCAGATGATCAAACATTGTGGTCTCTCCCACTCTGTTTCAGTGATTGAGGATGCAGCATTGCCCTAAGTGAAGACTGTGACATCAGAATCACAGTCAAACCCTGTGAAAACTTACCCCAAATGTGGCTGGGTCCAGACTGCTCTCATCATGTGGATGCTTTTACCCTCAGGCTCACCTTTCTGATTATTGCAGCTCCTCCAGGGTTACTCCGGTGCCTTTGCTATCAGACAGCATGATTCAGAGAGTGCTGGGTTTGAGTTCCATCCTCGCCACTTGAGTATGGATGTTCCGAGTTACTGTGCTGCTGGAGCACTGGCATTAGAAGTTCCGTCTTTCAAGTGGAACATTAAGCCAAGAGATAACACAGTATAGAGCTGGAGGAACACAGCAGGCCAGGCAGCATCAGAGGAGCAGGAAGGTTGACATTTTGGGTCAGGACCTTTCTCCAAAAATGGAGAGGGGGAAGGGAGCTCAGAAATAAATAGAGACAGGAGGGGTGGGGCTGGGGAAGGTAGGTGGGACAGTGATAGGTGAGTGCAGGTTGGGACTGGTGGGGATTGGTCAGTGAGGTGGGGGGATGCGGATAGGTGGGAGAGAAAATGGCCAGGTTGTGTCAGGTCAAGGAGGCAGGGATGAGAGGGAGGGTTGGTCAAGGGATGAGGCCTGGGGTGGGGAGGTTTTGAAACTGGTAAAATCCACATTGAGGCCATCGGGCTGTAGGCTCCCAAGGTGAAATACGAGGTGCTACTCCTCCAGTTTCCAGGTGGCATCATTGTGACACTGGAGGAGGCCCAGGATGGACATGTCGCCCAGGGAGTGGGAGGGGGGAGTTGAACTGGAAGGTGTTGTCGTTTGTCACGAACTGAGCGTAGGTGCTCTACAAAGCAGTCTCCGAGTCTCTGCATGGTCTCACCAATGTACAGGAGGCCACATCGGGAGCAACGGATGCAATAGACCAAGTTGACTGATGGGCAGGTGAACCTTTGTCTGATGTGGAAGGTTTGTTTTGTGCCTTGAATGGAGGTGAGGGGGTGGATTAGGGGCAGGTGTAGCACTTCCTGCAGTTGCAGGGAAAGGTGCTAGGGGTGGTGGGGCTAGTGGGGAGTGTGGAGCGAACGAGGGCGTCGTGGAGAGAGTGATCCCTACGAAAGGTTGATAGGGGTGGGGGGGGAAATATATCTTTGGTTGTGGGGTCAGATTGTAGGTGGCGGAAGTGGTGGAGAATGATACATTGGATACGAAGGTTAGTGGGGTGATATGTGAGGACAAGGGAGATTCGGTTTTTGTTTTTGTTGAGGGGAGGGGATGTGAGGGCAGAAGTGCGGGAAACACAAGAGATGCGGTTGAGAGAATTTTCAACCACCGAAGGGAGGAAGTTGCGGTCCTTGAAATAGGAGGATATCTGGGAAGTTCGGGAGTGGAATGCCTCATCTTGGGAGCTGACACAGCGGAGGTGGAGGAATTGGGAATAGGGATCGCATTCTTGCAGGAAGGTAGGTGAGAGGAGGTGTAGTCTAGGTAGCTGTGGGAGTCAGTGGACTAGAACTAGATATCAGTTTCGAGGTGGTCACCAGAGATGGAGACAGAGAAGTCCAGGAAGGAGAGAGAGGTATCAGAGACGGTCCAAGTGAACTTGAGGTTGGGGTGAAAGGTGTTAGTAAAGTTGATGAACTGTTCAAGCTCCTCGTGGGAGCACGAGGCAGCACCGATACAGTCATCGATGTAGCAGAGGAAGAGGTGGGGGATAGTGCCAGTGTAGCTGTGGAAGAGGGACTCTGGATAAATGGTGGGGGGGGTTGCATTTTGGTAAGACGAACAAAGGCAGGACTTACACAGTTAATGGTAGAGCCCTAGGGCGTGTTGTAGAATAGAGAGATCTATGGGTTCAGGCACATAGTCATTGAAAGTTGCAACACAGGTAGATAAAATGGTAAAGAAGGCATTTCACACACTTGCCTTCATCACTTAGACCATTGGGTATAGGAGTTGGGACATCATGTTGTGATTATACAGGACATTGGTGAAGCCAGTTTTGGAGTACTCTTATGGGAAGTATGTTATTAAATTGGAAAGGGTGCAGAAAAGATTTACAAGGATGTTATCAAGACTAGAGGGTTTGAATTATATGGAGAAGCTGAATAAGCCGTGACATTTTTCACTACAGCGTAAAAGGTTGAGGGGTGACCTTATCGAGTTTATAAAATCATGAGGGGCAGAGATAAGGTGAATAGCAAAGGTCTTTTCCTTAGGGTTGTGAGTCCATAACTAGAGGGCATATTTTTAATGAGGGAGGAGAAAGATTTAAAAGGGAACTGAGGAGCAAATTTTTCACTCAGGGTGGTTGGTTTGTGAAATGAACTGCCAGAGGAAGTGGTTGATGCGGGTACAGTTACAATGTTTAAAATACATTTGGATAAGTACATGAATAGGAAGGGTTTAGAGGGATATAGGCTGAATGTAGGCAATTGGGACTAGCTTAGTTTGGAAAACTTGTTCAGCGTGGACAAGTTGAACTGAAGGGTCTGTTTCCATGCTATATGACTCTATCACTCTAAGTCAGAATGATGAACGGCTTGAGGTGAACCTGCAGGTGGATCTTAACCTCTAAAATATATGTAAAATATTTTATCTTGAAGAAGAGTAATGGAGATCTTCCAGTTGTCCTGGGCCAATATTTATTCCTCAACAAACGTCAGTAAAAACAGATGATCAGGGACATTTTTTAAAAAAAAAACTCCACAAGATGTGGGCATTACTGGCTGGGCCCAGCATTTATTGCCCATCTCTAGGTGCCCCTTGAGAAGATGGTGGTGAGCTGCCCTCTTGAACTGCTGCTGTAGATAGACCCACAATGCCATTAGGGAGGGAATTAATCATCACATTGCTGTTAACGGGAGTTTGTCGGGTGCAAATTGGCACCCACATTTCTTACATTACCACGGTGGATACTCTTCAGGAAGTACTAAATTGGCTTTGGAAGGATGTGGGGTTCTGAAAGGCGCCAGAGAAATGCACATCTATCCCTGTACACAGATGGTAAACCTGTCTTTATAAAGTCAAGAGAGTGAAGCCATCACAGTTAATTAAGATTAGAAAACCAAGCCTTTGGGGCTTTGCAGTGATGATAAGGAGGCCAATCCTTTTGTACGGTTGGGTTTTATTCAGTCAAGACACTTTGGCGAAAAATCACAATGTACAATGAGCAGATTTAAACGACTGGTTGTGAGAAAGCTGCCCTGAGTTATATGATGCTGGGGATTGGAATCCATTTAAGAGAGAGGATTAAAAAGGCAGGGAGAACTAAAATGTCCTGTCATGATGGAGAGCCACTGAACCCGATTAAAGATCAACTTTGATCATAATCTCAGCAAGCCAAGCGAGAGAGACGAGGATACAGTTTAACAGATAGAGCAGTCGCTTCAACACACAGGGGATTCTCTCACTGCCCGTCTCCATTAAAGTGTGGACGAGGATCTTAGAAGCAGGGCTCAGAAAGATAAACAGCAAAAAAAGGGAGAACTTTTATTTAACTATCCCTTCTCATCCTGTGTCTTTGCAAATCCTTTCAGCCATGGGTGAGTGGACAATTTTGGAGAGGCTCCTGGAAGCTGCAGTCCAACAACACTCTACTATGATCGGAAGGTGAGATTCTGTTCTGAAAGGTGGCAAGAAAAGGGAAGTGGGGTTTAGTGGATAAATATTCACCAGTCAGACAAAAAAAAACTGCAGAGAAAATCCTGGCTACAATTTCTGTAGGACTCGTTCCTGCATTTAAATAAAGACGTTAAATTAACCCATTATTATAGGGTTAATAATCAATTGATGATCTGTGTGTAATTTTGTTTTTGGATTACATGGAGCGTTTAGCAAATTCCACAAATACCCTGTTGTTTTTGTCTGTCTGCTTGATGTTTGACCCACATAAATAATTGTGACAATTTAGAGACTTAATGTCAGTTAAATATTTTTAAGGTAAATATTAAATCAAATTAGATTCAATTTATTTTACAAAACTATGATTACAAGTGTGGAATTATGAATGAATGATGGCATATAGAAATGTTAATATTTTAGTTATTCAGGGTAATATTAATAATGCTCTGAAGATTTGGATTCAAACCTCACCATGGTGGAGTTTAAATTTAACGAATAAATTTGGAGTTGAAATTTGACCTTAGACATAATTGCCACAAAGCTATCAACACTAATCCTTTGGGAAAGAAAGTTGCCATTTTAGCCAACATGTGGAGAAAAGCCTGTAAGATGAAGAGTCACATTTGAAACAGTCATATCCCACCACTGCAGCAGGGCTAATCTAAAATCAATTGAAAAGGTGGCGGTGAGCTGCCCCTTTAACTATTGTAGTCCACCTGGTATAGGGACACTCACAATGCCATGAGGGACGGATTTCCATGATTTTGACCCTGCAACACTTAAGGTGTAATGATATATTCCCAAGTCAGGATGGTGAGTGGCTAGGAGGAGAACTTGCAAAGGGTGATGTTCCCATATATCTGCTGCTCTTGTCCTTCTTAATGGAAGTGGTTGTGGGTTTTGGAAGGTGCTGTCTGAGGAGCGTTGGTGAATTTCTGCAGTGCATCTTACAGATAGGACAGACTGCTACTGAGTGCTGGTGGTGGAGGGAGTGGGATGTTTGTGGATGTGGTGCCAATCAAGTGGGCTGCTTTGTCCTGGATGGTGTCGAGCTTCTTGAGTGTTGTTGGAGCTGCCCCCATCCAGGGCAAGTGGGGAGCATTCCATCACACCCCTGACTTGTGCCTTGTAGATGGTGGATAGGCTTTGGGGAGTGAGCAAGTGAGTTACTTGCTGCAGGATTCCTAGCCTGTCACTTGCCCTTGTAACCACTGTATTTATATGGCGAGTCCAATTCAGTTTAAGTTTAACCTTTCATCTGACAGATGACACCCCTGACAGTGATTACTCTAGGAGCATCAGGCTCATTTGAGTGTCAGGCATAGATCTCTGGAGTGGGACTTGAATCCACAACCATCTGACTCGGAAAAGGCCCACTGAGCCAGGGCTACATTTTTAAAACAGACGTTGTGAGGGCATGTATTGGTCATGATTAGAAGTTAAGGCAAGATGTGTTGACAGAAATAAGCCAAAGGGACTTACTGGGGCTGTGCAGAGTTGAACACACAGAGCTATAACATTCTGAGAGATGAGGGAAATGGGCTGAAGGAATTGTAGGTGAATTGAAATCAAATCACCCAAAGCTAGTTTGCTGGTTCACTGCATTCCAAGATACTGTTTAAATGTTTTCTTTGCTGTGTTCATCTTCCTTACAACACTGCACACCCTCCCGTGTACCCAGTGAGAAGACACTGATCCCATGAGTAATAGGCATTCTCTACATTCTCTTCATCCTCCCAAGGAACACGAACAGGTGTAAGACATTCAGCCTCTTAAGCCTGTTCCACCATTCAATGAGATCATGATCTGTGACCTAACTCCATAAACCTGCCTTTGGCCCATATCCCTTAATACCTTTGCTAAACAGAAAAATATCTATTTCAGATTTAAAATTAACAACGGATCCAGCATCACTGTAATTTGTGCAACAGAGTTCTAAACACTTACTACGTGCTATTAGGGGCAGGGCTAAATTCAGCTTTGGTTAGAGAACATACTGATAAACAGGAAAAGACAGGGTAGATGAAGACAAACTATTTCTGCTGGTTGGGGATTCTAGAACTAGGGTGCATAGTCAAAAAATTAGGGCTAGTTCAGGAGAGATTTTAGGAAGCACTTCCACACATCAATGTCCAGGACTTCCCACGTGTAAGTAAAGGGTGCTGTGGTGACAGGATACAGCCTCTGTGGAGTTATTTCAATTCTCTTTGCCTTTCTTCATTATATGGGTGTTACTGGCTAAGCCAGTGCTTATTGCCTATCCCCAATTGTCCATGGAGAAGGTGGTCATGAGTTGTCTTCTGGAACCACTGGAGCGAGGGCGAGAATTCCAGGATTTCAACCCAGCGACAGTGAAGATACGGCAGATTGTCTTGCAAGTCAGGATGGTGTAGGGCTCGGAGGGGAACTTGCAGGTGATGGCGGTACTCCTATGCATCCGCTGCCCTTGTCATTCTAGGTTGGTAAAGATTTTGATGGGGCTGTCAAAGGAACCACACATGCACTTTCTTCAATGGCTGTGTAGCCCTTAGCTTTTTTGAAAGCTTATTTATTCACACATGGGCTAGCTCAGCATTTATTGCCCATCTCTAATTGTCTCAAGGGCTGTTCTTACCTGGTCTGGTCCATATATTAGTCCAGACCCACAATAACATGGCTGACTCTTAACTGCTGTCAGAAAGACATGACTCACAGGGATTAAGGATGGGAAGTAAATGCTGGTCTTTCTGGCTAACATTCCATAAAATAATTTATTTAAAAGTCCGGATGTAATTATGCATTCAGAAAGTATCATGGCTGGTGAACTACGTTGATAACAAAATATGTGGATTGACCGGAATAGGGTTTCATAAAGACCTGTATTTACATAGCACCTTTCATGACCTCTTAAAGAACTGTACAGCCAATGTACTTAAGCTGTGTTGGAAAGTGTGACTGTGGCATGCAGGGCTTACACATTGCTCTTGTGCACTCTTGTAACATTTACAAGATTGGACAATATTTTCTTAACAATCCCAAGTCTGCTAAGAATTACGCTAACCATCAATTTACGTTTATCAACTGTGCTTGTGATGAGGCTCGCTCACTCTTGCTAGGAACTACATTTATTCAAACAGAGGGATTTGTCCTCTGCAGACAAAAGGATTATGACCAGGCATTGCACCACTCTTGAATTAAACAAAAGCATGGGGACAATAGGTCTCTGGTGCATTCTCCACAGCACTCCCTTGACCAATTAGATTTGACTTGCTAACTAATTCGTACCCTTTTATCATGCAGTATAAATTGCTGCCCCCTTAATAATTTGGCATTTTTGCATCTGTCCTGATGAGCACAAGATGAAAAGCTTCAGCAGCCTGTCACTTTCTGCAGTAATGTTTGTAAGGATTTGACAAAGTAAATTCTCACTTTATTTTTAGGATCCTCCTCACAGTGGTGGTGATCTTCCGAATCCTAATTGTTGCCATAGTAGGGGAGACAGTCTATGAAGACGAGCAGGCCATGTTCATGTGCAACACTCTTCAGCCGGGCTGTAACCAGGCATGTTACGACAGAGCTTTCCCCATCTCCCACATCAGATACTGGGTCTTCCAGATCATCCTGGTGTGCACGCCTAGCCTCTGCTTCATCACGTACTCTGTGCACCAATTGTCTAAGCAGAAGGAAAAACGTTTCTCCATGCTCTGTCCACTTCTGGATCGGGATTCCACCAGGGTTTCCACGGAACAGAAGGAGGACAAAAGGCCAAGATGTAGTCTTGTCAATGGGATCCTGGGCCAGAGTCCTGAGGGATATCCAAAGGCACTGGATGTAGACTACATGGAGGGAAAGAAGCTGTCTAATCTCTCAAGTTGGATCAGTAGCAAAAGCATGAAGATGAAATGTCAGGAGGGCATCTCGAGATTTTACATTATCCAGGTAGTCTTCAGGAATGCCTTGGAGATCGGCTTCTTGATGGGACAGTACTTCCTCTACGGGTTCAGTGTTCCTGCGATCTTTGAGTGTGACCGGTATCCATGTGTTAAGGAGGTGGAATGTTATGTGTCCCGACCAACGGAAAAGACAGTCTTCCTGGTCTTCATGTTTGCCGTCAGTGGCATCTGTGTGGCTCTGAACCTAGCGGAGCTCAACCATTTGGGCTGGAGGAAGATCAAGGTGGCCGTCAGAGGGGTACAAGCCAAGAGGAGGTCCGCGTTTGAGGTTAGGAAGAAGGTCCTGCCGTATTTCGGCAGCCAGGGGAGGACCCAATCCAGTGAGTCTGCGTATGTCTGAGTGGCATTTGAGGTCCCTTTAAACCCAAAGCCAACTAAATACCTTGGAAGGAATACCTTACCATGGTAACTGTGTCTGGTCCATGACTGTGGTGTATCTTTATAAAGTGTGCCCTGTTAGTAAAGTCAAAGACACTTAAGTAGTATGAAGGGAGCTCACATCTAATGTATCTTAGGAAGATGGAAACTATTTAGGATGCGCTTTTTATGACTATGCAGTATCCTAAAGCACTTTACAGACAATGACGTTTTTATTGAAGTATAGTCTCTGTTGTAATATAGGAAGCACAGCAGCCGATTTACAGAAAGCTCCCACAAACAACACTGTGATAATGGGCAGACAATCAGAGTTTCTTTGCGGCGTTGACTGAGGGATAAATATTGGCCAGGATCCCGGACAGAACTCCTCCATTCTTCTTTAAAAAAGTGCCACAGGAGTTTTTACATCTACTTGAGTCGGCAGGTGGGTCCTCTATTTAAAGTCTCATCTAAAAGATGGCACCTCTAACAGTGTAGCACTCTCACAGTACTGAACTGGGAGAGTCAGGGCCAGTGACAGTATCAAATTATTTCTTGGTGGATTGCTGGGCTTTTGTCCTTGCCATTGAATTAGAATTGGAATATCCTTTATTGTCACATGTATTCAAGTATGGATGTACAGGAGTACCGTGAAAAGTTTTACAATGGCTCCTCTTATGGGCCATCTTAAGTATAAGTACCCAGGCACAAACCTTAGATACAAAAAGAGGAATAAAAAAGAAAAGTAGTTACATTACTTTCCAGTGATTCATAGGATAAGTTAGAAGTAAGACATAGTTAAAAAGATAGTGATTACAATCAGAAAAACAAATTACACATAAACATTACATTGCAGTAGCTCCGGGCAGGGACTTCCACATGTGGTCTAACCGCCTGCACTAGGCCCCAGTGCAACAAGTGTCCCCACACCACTCCAAGCCTCCAGTCTGCTCTGCACCAGCTCTCAGCTGCTCCAAGGTAAGTCTGCTCTGGGACTTGCTTCCCTGCTTTGGCCTCCGCTCCAGGACTGCTTGCCTGCTCTGGCCTCCGCTCCGGGACTGCTTGCCTGCTCTGGCCTCCGCTCCGGGACTGCTTCCCCGCTCTGGCCTCCGCTCCAGGACTGCTTCCCCGCTCTGGCCTCCACTCCGGCCTCCGCTCCGCGGCTGCTTCCCCGCTCCGGCCTCCACGCCGGGACTGCTTCCCCACTCTGGCCTCCGCTCCGGGACTGCTTGCCTGCTCTGGCCTCCGCTTCGGGACTGCTTCCCTGCTCCGGCCTCCACGCCGGGACTGCTTCCCCGCTCTGGCCTCCGCTCCAGGACTGCTTCCCTGCTCTGGCCTCCGCTCCGGGACTGCTTCCCTGCTCTGGCCTCCACTCCGGGACTGCTTGCCTGCTCTGTCCTCCGCTCCGGGACTGCTTGCCTGCTCCGGCCTCTGCTCCGGGACTGCTTCCCCGCTCCGGCCTCTGCTCCGGGACTGCTTCCCCGCTCCGGCCTCCGCTCCGGGACTGCTTC